CTAACTCATTTTTTACATTCTAGCTACACTTGGAGTAGAGGTTCATCCTCTTCTTTTTCATACTAACCGAGGGCAGATCCGCTTCAATGTGTGGGATACAGCTGGACAAGAGAAGTTTGGTGGATTACGTGATGGTTACTATATACAAGGTAATCAGTGTATATATATATGTAAAGCGGAATCAAGAGTGTCTTAATTTCTAGGACAATGTGCCATTATAATGTTCGACGTCACAGCTCGGGTCACTTACAAGAACGTACCAAACTGGCACCGAGATTTGGTTCGAGTCTGCGAAAACATTCCAATAGTACTTTGCGGAAATAAGGTATGTGGGTTTTATGGACTTTTCTCACAAATTGTGGTTAATCCCAGTTATTGACAGGTGTTTGGTTCAACCAATCATGCGCATTTTTCGTAGGCAAATTGAGACACCGATTTTTTGAATCAACCCTTTTTTACCTGCTAGTAGTTGAAAAGTATGTTTTCGACTCTTTTTGCAGTACTGTTCCTTGTTCCGTACCTTCTTGCTTGGCTGGTTCGTATGCCAAAATTTTTCATAACGATCTATACGACTTCTAATCCCAAATCGAGCTAAGGGTGAATTAAAACAGGGGAGCTAATATTTTAGTGTTATGATCTTTGTACAGATCTAAGGAGGTGTTAGACTGTGAAAGAAAACTCCAACATGTTCTAGTACGGCATCATTGAGCTGATGATACTGGGAGTGCTATCGGACGCTAATAGATCCTGGTTTGATGACTGTGGAAACTTGACTGACTTTGCGTAGGATTGACTCTAGAGTTCTGAAGGGCTATTCTTTGTTTTATTTTGTTTTGCTGGGGTTTGAGGGGCAGTTTTGAAGTTTAGTGAATTCATTGAAACATCGCAGATCTGGTTTGTAAGTGGGATACGTAGTCGATGAAAACATATTAAGGTATGGTAAAGCCTCCTAAACAAGATATCTGAATTGGCATAACGATCAATGAATTGTTGTAGAAGCTGTTATGGCGTGCGAGCGTACTTTTCCCAATTTATTCTACTCTAAAGAACGTGTACACTTAAAATGGTGTAACTTCCCATTTACCGATATGTATCAGCTTAGTACCGGTTATTCTATGGGTCTACCTTGTCCCTTTAATGTTAGTTGAACCTTTCAAAGTGAACTGAATTTCTAGTATCAAACCTTTATGTGTTCCTTATCGTACCATGGAGCTCGAAGTTGAAATTCGAGTCATCAACGAGTAACTCTAAATCATCTGCGTTTATCTTAGCTCATCGCTGATTTGCATCATTTGCGAAAGTAGTCTTTTTGCCTTTTACGCTATGTTATATCACTATTCTATCAGTAAATATGAATATTATGCAGTGTACACAATGCATTGAGTGTTAACCCGTATCTATTGCAGGTTGACGTAAAAGACCGAAAAGTGAAGGCAAAGACAATTACGTTTCATCGCAAGAAGAACTTACAGTATTATGACATCTCAGCCAAATCTAACTACAACTTTGAAAAGCCATTTCTTTGGTTGGCTCGCAAACTTCTTGGTGATCCTAACCTTGAGTTCGTCGCTATGCCAGCTCTTGCACCACCAGAGGTGAGCAATTTTTGAATCACTACTTGCGGCGTCTTCATTAGAGCACCTGCCCCTTTCAATGTCCTTTTTGAATTACTTTGTTCAAGGTACAAATGGATCCAACTATGGTGGCTCAGTACGAAGAAGACCTTAAAAACGCTGCGGATGCCGATTTGCCCGATGATGACGACGATCTCTAGGCCACACGTGTGTAGAATATGCTCTGATCGATATTCGATTCTTTCGACTACTCGGGCCCATAAACCGGTGGCCACGTTGATGTTCACTATTTTGTTGCCGAAGTTTGTTTCATTGTTTTTGTACGTTTACATACACGTGTATTTCTTCCTTTTTTATGCAAGGTAAAAACCGTTTAGCTTGATTAGTAATTAATGAAATAAACTTT